GGGTTAGATCTATGCTGGCTCCTGATAGGCTGATTCCACATTGCAAAAGTGAAAGTACTACTAAAGCACATTCAAATGAAGCAGCAATTTACGTGGAGATTAAATCGGATTTTGAATTTGTCAGCCTCAAACCATATTATCTGGTGGTGACCCTATTTTCTTAGTGACTCAAAACTGTGACCCAGACCCATGCCTCTTGAATCGAAGTGGGTCGGCACCGTCAGTTCCGTTGGTGAATATTCGTGAGCAGGCTGGGCTTGCTATCTACAAAGCTTAAAAACTGCCCACTTCTGTGCTCAGGAAATATATGTCAAAACCACAAGAGGGCAGCTTGTCTGGTGAAACCAGGCATAGAAAAATGCTGCTCTGTGGACACAGGATCCCACAGACGAAGACGTTGGAAATTCCAAAATATTTCTTGCATAAGGAAGCCCCTGCCAGTTTCATCCAAAGAGAGGATGCCTTTGGAGGTTGGGAGTTTTAAGGCAAGTTCTTTCATGCAAATATCCTCCTTTCCTCTATGGAATATAAATATCCATTTCCCTGTGGGTTCCCTTTTCCTTTCTCTTTCCCTCCCTTCTCTCCTTATTGAGGTATGATCTACATATAATAAATTTCACATGTTTTTAAGGGATGACTTTAATAACTCTATACTGTTTGGAACCACCCCACCCCTCAGTGAAGATACAGAAATTTCCTTCTCTCTAGAAACTCCTGTCACGTTTCTCTGCTGTCAGTGTCCCCTCAGATCCCCGTGAATCTCTCATGAAGTGTTCATACACAAATATTGTGGCACTCTCTAGGAGGCTGTGTGAGAGCTCTCGAGAGATCCAAGGAAACTAAAACCCAGCTCCATCCCCAGGGACCTGTGTAGGATTTTATCCTTTGTGGCTGTTGCTTGTGGTAATCTGGCTCTTATTCACTGAGAGGAAGACGATCATTAATTGCCCCGTCATTAATTTCTCACTTGTTCTTTAATTCACCTTGGCTTTAATGAACATTTATTGCATTTAAGTACTCAGACGAATTCACTAGGAGGGAAGTGCTCTTATTACCTATATTTACAGTCTGAAGACACTGAGGGACAGTCACCTGTGGCTTTGGTAGGCGAACAAAAGGAGTGAGGTTCATTTCCTGATGTGAAACATGGAATTAAATTTCGTAAGAAATTCCATCTTTTCATTGATCAAAGTAGTTCTCTTTCTGTACACAATATCCAGGGGCAGTGCCACCCACGGCCATGGCCGAATGCCACGACCATTCCAGTCTGCGTCCCTGACCTTGACCACCAAGCATCCCTGTGTCTGTTTCCCTGGTTCCCACCTTCGTCTTCCCCTGACAGGTCGCCCTGCCTCTGGCCCTCCTCCGCATTGTGGTCACAGTGCTCTTTCCAGTGTGTACTTCTGGTCATGTCGCCTTCCTAATTAAAATTCTCCACTGGTTTCCTGTGCGATAAAATGTGAGCTCCTGGTTCCTGGCCTTGGTCAGCTGCAGGCCCTGCTGCTCCCCACTGCCCACCCTCAGTCTTAGCTGTGCCCAACCAGTTGTCATCTTTTCAAGGTGCTATGCTGAGTCCCTGCACCCAGGAACTGACTGTTCCTTCTCTCTGGAAAATGTCCTCATCCTTCATTCCTGTCTGCTGGGCAGACTTACTCATCCTTCAGGACTTGGCTCACATCTTCCTTGAGTAGCCCAAACAGCAGGGATCATCTTCCCAGTTTCCATTGCTTCTTGCAAATTATAGCCGGTGCCACAATGTTCTATAAGGATCTCGGTCCAGCTGTGCACCCTCCTGGAGGGCAGAGACTTGGTCTTTTCAACTGTGTATTTCTAGCCCAACTCAGTACCTGGACTCACTCTCCAGACCTTAAATATCATAAAAGCAGGGCTGGGATTGTGGCTCAGTGGTAGAGTGCTCGCCTACCATGCTTGAGGTACTGGGTTCTATCCTTAGCACCACTTAAACTGTAAAATAAAGATATGGGGTCCAACTAAAACTAAAAAATAAATATTTAAAAAACTATATTATAAAAGCAAAAAACTCACCCATTATCTTCATCATGGTTATTCCCAGCCTGGCTTAGGGCCTGCCCTATAGTAGGTATTCAATTCATATTTGTTGAAAACACGAATAGTGGCTATTTCTAAATGTCCAACTGTGATGGTTTTGCCCAGGGATTGCAAACTGAAGGGCCACCAGCATAATCAAGACATGGCCATGTTTTATACAACCTTACAATATTATAAGGTTTCTGAATTTGATACTTGTAGGCAGATATTATGCCTTTACATTTACCACTGTTCATCCCCTCCTTTTTTTGAAGTATTGGGGATTGAATCCCAGGGCTCTCTGCCATTTAGCTACATCAAACCCAGCAACCCTCCGTCTTTCAAAAAAATTTTTTTTTTAAATTTTGAGACAAGGCCTTGCTAAGTTGCTGAGGCTGTCCTCAAACTTGCCATCCTTCTGCTTCAGCTTCCCAGTCTCTCTGGGATTACAGGTGTGTACCGCTGTGCCAGCTTCTACTTCACTCATCTGTGACTGCCAGCCTGTTCCTGGGACTAAGGTTGTGGGCTGTGCAGGGTGAGGCATCATCCTGGTTTTCTGGAGCTGCCATAACAAACTACCACAGATTGGGTGGCTTTAGCAACAGAAGTTTATTTTCCCACAGTCCAAGATCAAGGTGTCAGCAGGTTTGGTTTCTCTGGAGGCCTCTCTCCTTGTCCGTCAGATGGCTGTCTCTCCTTTTTTGTTTTTTTGGCACCAGGGATGAAACCCGGAGGCTCTTTACCACTGAGCCACATACCTAGCTCTTTTTTATATTTTATTTAGAGACAGAGTCTTGCTAACTTGCTTAGGGCCTTGCTAAATTGCCAAGGCTGGCTTTGAACTTGCAATCCTCCTGCCACAGCCTCCTGATCTACTAGTATTACAGGCGTGCACCACCATGCCTGGCAACCTCAACTTCTTTTCTAATAAGCACACCAGCATATTACAATAGGGTCTACCCAGTAATCTCACTTAAATGTAATCACCTCATTAAAGACTCTGTTTCCTTAGTGCAGCATACTCCTGTAATTCCAGTGACTCAGGAGGCTGAGGCAATAGGTATTGCAAGTTAAGGCCAGCCTCAGCAACTTAGACCGTGCATCAAAATAAAAAAATAGAGTGCTGGGAATACATGTAACTCAGTGATAGAGCACCCTTGGGTTCAGTTTCCAGTATCAAAACCAAAACAAAACCCTGTCTCCAATTACAGTCACATTGTGAGATACTGAGGTTTAGGACTAGCCTATGAATTTGGGGCAGGGGCACTAATCATTCCATACAGGTAGGGTCATGACTCTCAAGTTCCATGGTTTTCTCCTTTGGGTCCGATTCCTGTTTTTATCACATGTCAATAAAGGGGAGCCCATCTGAGAGAGCAGTTTGCTCTCTGAGGCCAAATCTGGATGGCTATACTATGCACCTGCTCAAACCTCTGGTCACTTTGATCTTGGGACCATATTCATGGTTCTTAAGAAACTGACATTCAGTCAGCACGCCAGGTAGACCTTCGGTGCCTTTCAGTCAAAAAATTGACATGTGGGCTGCAAACTTTCTCTGCCAGGAGTTCAGTGGACAGGAGAGGTAAAAACCATGTAATGACATGGCACCGCCTCCATTTGCTGCAAGCAAACAGTCAGGTCCTTTATTACCCTTGAAATGGGCACCCGTGACCCAGGCTGGGCTCAGAGAAGCGAGTCAGATGCCAAGTTTCTGTGGGTCAAAGTTCCTTCAAGCACTTATGTTAATCAAAAGCTCAGCCTTAGTTAATTTGGCCATTGCTTTCAGGAGAACTTTGGAACAAATGATTACCGAGTGGTATTGCAGGAGTTAGCCTCACTGAGTATTTTCTTACCCAGGAGGTGGGTTGCCGTCTTTCTTGGTGGGGGCGGGATTGAGATTCGTCACTTTTATTCTTGGTTGAGTCGTGGTCCAATAAATCTGCTGTTCAGAACCTAGTTAGTCAGACTTGTTCACTTAAGGGAATATTATTTGTGTATGGGAAGAAAGGCCAGCTCTAAAGTGCTCCCAGCGGTGAAGGAAAATTTAAAATACTAACAACTCACCTGTCGTGGTGGAGTACACCTGAAATCCTAGCGACTCGGGAGGCTGAGGCAGGGGATCACAAGTCAGCCTCAGCAATTTTGCAAGGCCCTAAGCGACTTATTTTGAGGCCCTGTCTCAAAATAAAAAGGGCCGGGGATGTGGTTCAGTGATTACATGTCCTTGGGTTCAATCCCAGGTACAAAACAAAACAAAAATCAGAAACCAAAAAACAAAACCCCATGAACAATGCTTAACATAATTTTGTGTGTTTGGCAATTCACCCCTAAAAGATCACAATTTCATAGACTTCAGCAGAAAATGTTTTAAAAGAGTATAATAGTCACAGCTGGCCTTCACCGAGCCAGCTCAAGGCCTTGGTATTGATTGTCACAGTGCCTCAATAGGTGGGGAATATTAGGCTCAAGTTAGGTGAGAAAAACAAGGCTCAGGGAGGCCCAGTCAGATGGCAAGCAGCGGGGCTGACTTTTGGTAACTGGTCAAAACTGTGAGCTTCCCTCCCTTTCTTATTCTCTTGTCCCAGTAAGATTCCTCCCGCCCTCCCTTCCCCCCTTCCCTTTCTCCCTACTCTCCTCCCTGTCCCCTCCCCTTGAATGTCTTTTAGTTAATATGAATCTGAGTATCTGCAAAACTGGTAAAAGGCTGTGCCATCTTCTGTCCACGTGTATTTGGGCCAGTGGAATTTTCAGTAGTGTCCAGTTATATCTAGCTTTCCTCGTAATTCCACACACACACACACACACACACACACACACACACACACACACACACGGCTGGGTAATGCTGGCAAAACACTGGATTTCTTCTTCTTACTACCCCGTCACCCTCCTCCATTCAGACCCCTCATTCCCATCTTTGGCTCAGTGGTGTTATCTTTTCCATTTCACAGGCCAGGTAACAGCGGAATCAGAAGGACACCTGGCACCAGGTCACCCAGCAGAGCTCAGCAATCCCTTGGCTTTCTGAGGACGTTTGGTAAGTCACGTGGTTTCATCTTCACCTTGGCTCACTCACATAACCATAACCCAGGGTTGGAGAACACTAGGCGGACACTGGAAATCACATAGTAACATCAAATCCTAAACCCCTCCCACCTTTTACAACCTCATAGCATTTTTGTGTTTCCTTAATTTACGAGGCCAGAGTGCCCTGTGTGTTTGTAGGCACTAATGTACCCAGGGACTCCCACAGTCAAAAAGAATGCAAGTGTTCTGTTGGCAATGCTTTTGCCTAAACTCGTCTAATACCAGTTCTTATGGAAATGTCTGATGGCGAGTTCTTCTGCCATGTGGCTGTTTATATAAACTCTAGAACGCCCTCTTCCTTATAGCCCCCCACTGCCACCATAATTTAGCGTGCCTGACATTGGGGTGTATTTTATGGACACTTGGATTCAGTGAAATACAGCATTTCCCTGATAATCCCCAAATGACCAGCATTGAACATTCCTTACTTTTTATTTTGCTTTCTTTTCTGTTTTGAAGGGGGAGAGTTGATTTTTTAAGAGTAGTGAGTGAATAATATAATAAATAGCAGATTAATAGGAACTGCAGGCTTACTAAAGAAAAGAGTCAGCTTTCCAATTCAGAAAGAAAAGCTAACTTTATTCTTTTGGTGGCTTCATACGATGGTTTTGAGATGAGCAGCCCTTCCCCAGACCCCATGAGCACTAGATCCTGGCTCTGAGAATAGTCCACCGAGGACGGCAGAGCAGCCCCCAAGCCTAGGGCTCGCAGAATCAGACATTCTTATCCAAATCCAAGTTCCTCTCCAGCAGGCAGGTTAGTTTTCTGGACTCAAACAGATGTGTGAGAAAAACTGGGCTCCATAGGGTATAAAAGCAGGGCGTTTTAGACTAATACCAAACTGGGTGATTTCTCCTTTTAAGATTATTTCAGGGGCTAGGGATGTGGCTCAGCAGTAGAGCGCTCGCCTAGCACATGCGAGGCACTGGGTTCCATCCTCAGCACCACATAAAAATAAATAAATAAAATAAAGGTATTGTGTCCAACTACAACTAAAACAGTATTAAAAAAAAAGATTATTTCATTCACGTAGGCAAAAGTTTCATGAATCCGACAGTTCTTTGGTCTCTTGCTCTTTGATGACTCCCTTTTTGCCAAACAAGAAAACTCATTTTCAAAACTAAAAAGGCAGAAAGGTGGACACGAGCCATAACTCCACCAATAGCATGACAGACAAGCGGATGTCTGTCTACAAAGCACGTCTGTCTTCCTACGAGGAAGAGATCTGTTCCCACCCTGCATGAGGAAAAACAAAATTGTGGGTATCAACAAAATGTCTGTGTCCCTTGGCAGAACAGCAGGTCCGGGGTGGCTTTATACCTTGCAGAAGGATATGAAGTGCTGTGGACAGTAAGGAGCATGCACCAGGGTTATGAGGCTGAGGTCTGTGGCTAATGTCAGCATCAAACTTTTGGTAGATTTCATGGTGACACTCAGATGTCAGCACTGAAGTTCCCAAGAACAAGGTCTGGAAGCCAGTCATGAGCCATGCATCTGAGCCATGCTCCCAGATGTGTCCTCAGCTGGGCACCAAGGGCAGAGAAAAATACGCTTTCCATGCCCTGCAGCTGTACTCACTGGTATCCGCTGGAGGCTGAGAAATAACAGAAACAGAACAGCTGCATTGATTTCATCAAGAATAACAAAAATTCTGCGTCTGCAAAATAAACGAGGTCCTTTTGAAACTAAGATCAAGGTCAGCAAAATATAAAGGGACACCTTAAGCAAAGAATGAAGTGGTTATTAGGATGCCAGGCTAGAGTGAAAGTCACTAAACACAAACAGGGCCTTTAGATCTAAGATGCCAATACCTACTGATTTTTGTTCACCTCCACCTGTGTAATCAGTCATCACGGGATTCTTAGAGTCACAAAATATTGGAGTTAAAAAGAACCATAAAACTGATGATGCTCATTAAAATGAACCTTCATTGAGTGCTTACTATGTGCCAAGCGTAAGAGAATTAGTTTACTTGTATGATCTCTTACTTGATTAGCCTCTTTTTATATCATCTACAATAATTCCATAGAGAAGGTGTTAGCTTTCCTATTTGGCAAATAAGGACATAGTTTTAAATATAACTTGTACAAGGCTCGGTGAGTACCTGATGGAACTGGCACACATAATGTCTTAGCTTATTTTCTGTTGCTATAACTGAATACCTGGCACTGGGTAACTTACAAAGGAAAGAAGTTCATGTCTCACAGTTTTAGAGACTGGGAAGTCCAAGAGCATGGTGCCAGCATTTTGGCATCTGGTGAGGGCCTTTTTGCTGCATTATAACCTAGTAGGGCATTACATAGAGAGTGCAAGTGTGCTAGCTTGGGTCTCTCCTCTTCTTGTAGAGTAACTGATGGAGGCCCACCCTCTGATGTCATATAATTCTAATTACCTCCCAGAGGTCTGCCTACAAGTACCACTAATATTTGACTTTGGAGATTAAATTTTTAATACATGAATTCCAGGAACATATCAAAACCATAGTATATGCCCAGGTCAGTCTAAGGCCAGAGTCAATCTCCCTCCCCCCGTCCCCAACACCAGTACTGGGATTGAACCCAGGGGACTGAATTACTGAACTATATCCCCAACTCTTTTCATTTGGAAACCGGACCTCACTAAGTTGCCAAGGCTGGTCTGGAACCTGTGATCCTCCTGCCTTGGCCTCCCTAGCTGCTGGGATCACAGGCATGCACTGCTGTAGCTGGCCCAGAGTTTGTTTTTGAACTGCTAGTCTTTACGAAGGCTGAGAGAACCTTGGAAAAGAAGCTTTCTGGACATTGTGGCCAGAGTTCTCAGGAGTTCTCCAAATCGATTCAGTGGAAATGACAAAAGGTCATATTGAAAATGGTAAAACTTACACTCTGAAATAGAAGTCATGTATAATTTAATTGAAAATTATAAAGCATGTTGGGGGGTTCTCCGATAGCCTCCACTTCTCCCGGCATTAGGGAATTGACCAGAACACTTAGCCAGGGTGGTTGAGGGCGCAGTCTGATCAGATCTGGACCCTTACTGCCCTCTGCCCCTGGAACTGGGGCTTCTTGTGCTTCAGGTCTCAATCATTTTGAGAATTTTTAAAAAACACCAATACACAAGCACCAGTCCTTCAGTTCAGATTTAATTGGGTCGGGGAAACCCAGACATCAGAATTTTTGAAAATTCTGCAAATGTGGACAACTACTGGCTTACACTTTTGCTTATTATTAGCCTGGCAAATAGCTATGTATTGCTTTTTCCTGCCTAAGAGCATCATTTATATTCTCAAGCAGCTGTTTCTGGTTTGGTTTTTCCTACGGTCTGTGTGGATGTATTGGGCTTTGAAAACCTTTTGACTCCTAGAAAGGAGTTATTTACTTAGCTCAGTGGAGGCCTGTCTGAAATGGATCACCTATTTACACTTCCCCAATTACATGTCTCATGAACCACAACGAAAGTTCCTCCTCATGACATTGCTCAGAATGTACCATTTAATTACTTTATACCTAAAATCTACAGATTGCAAGGGATGATATGCTCCTGGTACATCCTAAAAACCCAGGGACTGTTTTTTTCGGGGGGGGGGAGGGTGGTAATGGGGATTGAACCCAGGGTTGCTTAACCACTGACAGTGATTTTATATTTTTTATTTAGAGACAGGGTCTGACTTAGTTGCTGAGGCTGGCTTTAAACTTGCCATCCTCCTGCCTCAGCCTCCTGAGGATTATCAGCATGTGCCACTGCATCCAGGGAAGCGACTATCTTTGTCTTCTGATAAGCACTGGTGTCTCTATGTGATATTCAATTAAAATAGACACCAGTAAGAAGAGGGCAAGTGGTTGACGTAGACCAGCACCTTGATTTGAAAAATGAGGGAGCCGAGGCTGAGAATCAACGGAGGCCAAGCCTGAGATTCAGCTCTCTTCCTGCGAAGTCTTTGCTCCTCCCTGTACTGCTGCACTTAAAATTTCTTTTGTGTCCCCTCTTGGTCATTCACACTGTGCCTTCCTAGTCCAAGTCAGAATTTTATTCCCAAATTATTGCAGTGTTCACGGAAAAGAAAAACAAAACTGGAAGAAGGTACCTAGCAGCTGGGTTTGAATGGTAGATGTCTGGATTTAATTTTTTTTTTTATTTTTAAATATCTGCTTTTACGTGACTTAGACTTTTTCTTTAGTAAACAAATGTTACTTTCCTCCAAGAAAAAATTCAAACCTCTGCTGGATCTGAATGTATATGCCCATTTTTACAGTCCGTTCTGTGACTAGCCACCAGATCTCCTTCCTTAAATACGTTTTTCTGCAGTCATCCTGCTTAACCTTTTGTGGGCTCCTGGGGCTCATGAGAAAAGTCCAAGCTCCTGAAATTCCAGTCTCGTCGTACCCCTGGCTGCTGCCTGTCCCCTTACCCCTACCACACGCCCTGCTCTGCTGGATTCTTGGCCCAGCCAGCCTCCTTCCATCCTAGGAAGAGGGAGCCCCGCTACTCAGTTCCCTTGCTCATCCTGTCTCTCCCTGGAGTGCCCCGTACTCTTGTCTCTTCCTCTTTACCTGTCCAAATGTTTCCTTTTGAAGCTCAGTTCAAGTACTTCCTCTGCCAGCACACCTTTGTCACCTTTATCAGGGATGGCAAATAAGGTTTCATTTTATATATGTAGGCAAGACAGTTGAAATTGGCGCCTGGGGAATCTTGAGGTCCTGTCCGTAAGCATTCTACAGTCAGTAATGGCTTCTCCCATAGTAACAAGAAGGAGAAGTGACAGAAGGCATGTCACCTGTTTTCCAGCCAGATCTGTAACTATTCTTTCAAACCTAAGATGTCCAATATGGTATTCAGTAGCCACCTGTGGCTCTTTAAATATAGATTAATGTTAGCCAGGTGCAATAGTGGCCCATACCTGTAGTCCCGGCAAGTTGGGTGAACCAGTAGGATCACATATTTGAGGCCAGCCTGGGCAACTTAGCAAGTCTC